TGAACTGCTGATCTAGCAGTAGCCTGCAGTGCTGCATTTAACCACTGCGCCACGCATAGATTATTAATTGAAGTTTAAAAATTTGTTTTTGAGAGGCAATTTCACATATAGTTCCTGCTTAGTGAATGTGTATTGCAGTAGTTCAAATGAGAAAGGATCACAGGATGAATGCTTGAAAGAAGGGCTTTCTGATCCAGGAAAGGTTGTAGCTTGTGCACACACAAAGTTGAGCAAAGGCTTTCCTAGTCACAATTACTCGAGGAGGATCTCCAGATTACACACTATATCTATTTGGGGCATCCAAGACCAAAGAGAAGAATCTCAAATGAGAAAATCCCATAATTCACAGCCAGTCCATCTCAATCTGGGTTCAACTGAAGCCTGTTCCCCATCCAGACCAATACAGTCTCCAAGCACTACAAAAGAATATCCACATCATCACTTAGTTCATCCAAATTGGAGATGTACAATTGGGTATTGTCCATACACTGATACCTCAAACTGTGGTAATGGATGATCTCAGCCAATGTGAAGGAATGTAGTAAGGAGGTAGATTCCCAGGAGGCAGAGGTACATTCCAGAGGATCAACAGGTAGCTAGTGTCTGGATGTTACATCTGAGAGAAAGAAGGCTAAGGCAGTCCCTCCCTACTTTAGATTGTAGATACAGAACATATAGTCCTAAGTCTGGCAGGTTTTTGTTTATAGGTGTGAAAACAATAACAACTCAGTTTAGAAAAATTATCATGTGACATTCTTGGTTTTGGGCCTGACATCCAGCAGCCTCAGGTATATGTTAAAAAGGAGTGGGAAGAGCATGGAGCTTGTGACACCCCGCAAAACAGGGCCACAGGCTGGACTTGTCTTTCTTACCAACACTGATTGGGATTGGCTTCAGAAAAATGAGGTGAACCAGCACAAAACTGTGTGGTTGGATGGGCGGATAGAGGCCTTGGCTGGTTGGCTTTGTTCTTTTCTGCCTAGTGCACTAGTTACAACCTTTCCTATAGCAGGAGGACATTACCAGAAATAGCAATGTGCTATATCTGTATGAATGTGTGACTTTTTTCCTTGTATTCCATGTCTTGTGTATGTGTGCAACTGGAAAACAAGATGAGTTGCATATGGCCAAGTCACATGACCAGAAAGAAGATAAATTAGGAGATAATTTTCTGAAATGTTTTCCTCTTGGGCCCCAAGCCATTTTTGAACTTGATATTTTTTTTGTCAGTTTCTTCCACCATACCAAATTTGGTGTTTTAGAGTTACTCTACTGACAGACACTTCTAAAACCTTTCGCTAATTACTCTCTACTATTCTGTTACATTGAAAACAAAAGGAAAGTTTCTATGCTGCATAGTGAAATGCCAATCCCTATAATAATTTTTATTTGAAATAATGCTTCTGAGACCCAAATGGGACACAGCAACATCCTTAGAAATAAACATGGAGGGTAGTTACAGCTTAATGCATCATATGGAAGTATATCCATTTGCCCAGAAAAATCTTATAAGTGGCAGCATGAATAAAATGCTACATTAATACATGGTGTATGCCCCCACCCACGGCCACTTTTCTGGACACATTTCCAGCATATTCGCAAAATTCTAAATGTATGTGTTATGTTGTCACATGTAATTATGATTAGTTTGATTTTTGACCTAAGAGTTATCTGACAGAAGAAGCCAGAAGAAGCGGGGGGCAAGGATAGTTGATGCGCAAAATATACATTGCAACGCTTATTGCAAAGCCTCTCAACTATCAAACGATAACCCGGCCTTCACGTGGTGCCCCCCGTTCCCACCAATCGGGCTCTGTCGACCCTTGGGACTGGCGTCCCCTTGGGTATATCCAGCCGAAACAGCTTCCATGGATCGCCGTAGGCGTCAAATTTCCATGGAAGTCGCCTATACCCACGATGGGTGAAGAGGCGTCAAGCCAAGTCAAGTCAGAAGAAGCCAGAATCTGACAGAAGAAGTCAGAAGCCAGAAGAATTCAAATATGATATTAGAACTTATTTTGTTTAAAGCAACTTCTAAACCAGGAAATCAGGAAATGATGAAACAGCCACACCAGTTTCACAGAGGATTTGTTATTTGTCATTTGCCAAAGTTGGGGTGTTGATTGGACCTACTCTGCAACAGCTGAGATTTCAGCATCAGAAAATACTCTAAAGGGGAACTAGGAAAAAATATGGGAACAAAGAAGCAACTTGTGTCCTATATATAGGTAATCCTCAACTCATGACTAAATTTTTTGTTACTAAGTGAGGCAGTTGTTAAATGAATTTTGCCTCATTTTATGACCTTTTGCCACAGTTGTCAATCAGTTGTTAAGTGGATCATACAGTTGTATGTATACAGTTGTATGAAATCTGGCTTTCCCCAGTGACTTGGCTAGTCAGAAGCTGGTTGGGGAGGTTATAAAAGATGATCACATAGTCCCAAGCCTTTGATGCTTCCTGATGGGCAGCAGCTTTATACCTTAGCTGAGCTAGCAAGCCAGCTGGGACCATTGCGGCATGTAGGGTCACCTGCTGCCTTGCACTGCAGCTCAGAAGTTCCTTGCAGCACTAGAGCATGACACACTGAAAAAATCCTGAGCTGCTGTATAGAGTAGAAGAGTAGAATGGTATTATTAAATTATAAATATATCTACCCATTCATCTATTTTGTTATGATATTAATAACTTTTATTGACTATATTTTCCATTAATCCATTCCATTTTGGATGCATCTATGAAGTGCATCCAAAAAAGGCAGGAAAATTTTTGAGCAAACTTTTCTTAAATTGTTTTATTATATGTCAGATTCAACATAATTACTGGCTCCAAAACTGTATAAACGATTACCTTGATGATGGCAGTCATTTCCCCTCATTTTTAAGCAATTGCAATTTTAGTGCCCAGTTTCAAATTTCCCAATCTTTTTGTAGCAACAAAATGAGCAGTGAAATTAAAAGTGTGCAGCAGATAATGATCTTCCTCAAATTGTATTATTTTCATAATAAAGATAAACCAAATAATGTATTTATATAATTGAACCTTAAGATGTGTATATTTATAACAATTTTTGAAATAAAAAAAAAACAATTTAAAAATAAATGCATAAGAGTTCTATGGAGATACATCCAATGCTCAATAAACAAACTTCTGCTTTCTTTCATTCTGTCTATCAGAGCATCCTAAAACTGCCCTTAAAGATGTCTCAAGCTATAAACCGCATGATGGACATATTCATAAGACTCCTGTTCTTTTAATAGACATCATTCTGTCAATGAACAAGCACCTTCAGAGTTCAAAGGAATACTCTCCTGGCTCCATTTCCAGTCCCACTTTCCAGCATTTCCTGTTCTTATTCCCATATAAGACCTGTAAGGATCTGCCATTGGACAGAAATTTCACCATGTCATGGATTCATGCAATAACTTTCAACTTGCATAGGCTAGAGTATGTATTAGCTGCTGTATTCTGCCGTAATTTATTATATGTATCAACAAATCTTATGTTGACAACTATATCCCTCCCTTCTTTTAAAAGCAGAATGCATTAAAACTGTGTATTAAATATGAGCCTAAATATCCATAAAAGGTATATATGCCATATTATGCAACCAAGTGACAAAAATAGAACATTACACAGTTTAAAATTTAAAATATAAAAACACACACATTAAAGATGAAGAAACAGAAAGGATTCTAAAAAAATGGACTACTTTAATTAAACAGTCTACTGACATAAACAGAACTGAACATGAATATAGTCATATCATGATAATTTATTCATTCTAGAGAGAATTTACTACAGAGAAATTCATACTTGCAAATACAATTTTCTTTTTTTCAATCTTGTGAAAGCTCTATAAATTGTATCTGCTACATGAATTTTATTAGAGGAGAATTCTGTCACTTCAGAAACACACTTGTCAAACTGAAAAGAAATTGATAGCAAAAGGCTTCATTTCTCAGTGGGCTTTAAACTACTTGAAGAAAGTAGGCAAGTACTCAACTTACTGGAAACTAGTTTGCACTATTTATCTAGCGAAGAACATTACCACAATGTTCTAGAGTGCGTTCTTAGATCAAGGTGCAGAATCAAAGTAGCTAATTTTACAACATGGATCATTTGTGGACTAGCAGAGTTATTTCTCCTCATTAAGGCCTACTGTTGAATTCTCCTCTTTAATTTATCCATGCTTCTCCTCAGCTGACACTACCATCACCAAGGAGAGTATTTGGCATTTTACAATGAAAAACAATCACTGCATAGATAATGCCCACACATGGGAAAAACTATAACTTAATTTTATAGGCTGGGAAGCATAAATTAGAGATTTTATGTAATAAAAAGAAATACAGGGGAAAGAATCACAATCACTGGCATTGCAACAATTTCAACACAAGTGAACTCCAATGTGGAAAAAAAACTAAGGAAAGGCAGAATTTAGATTTCAGAAAAGATTCCTTGTGATATAGATAGGTCCTACAGGATATGTGCATCACCTAACACTGAGATGAATCATTAATCATTTAATTCATTCAAAATCATTCAGAATTTTAATAGACTGTTGAAAGCATTAATTCAAAGCATTAATAAAGATAATGGGGAGGGAAAATACACCTTAAGTTATAAAATGAAAACCAAGACAGATCCTATATGTTGCAGTAACTGCAAACATCAATTAAGATTGCATATGAGACTGTCAGATCTTTTAGTATTCTGTGCTAGCTGAACATTTTCTTTTATAGCTGACAATACAAGTTTCTACTTCAGCTAAATACATTGAAGTCATAGGTGATTTATTTTTTTATTAAGCAAACTATGACTTAAAACTGACTATGATATAGCTTTACAATTCTCAATTACAGCAGCAGTAAACCACCTTATGGGTTTTGTTATGGCTTGTTAAAGATACGTTTTCCTATCTTACAGATGCTCAATTTTAAAATGTAAATGGTACAGGATATTGATAAACCAATTAGCACTGATGCAAAGCAAATTCCTCTTTTATCTCAATTACAACATGACAACTTAATAGGTCAAGATAGTCTAACATCTGAGACAAGGGCAATTCAATAAAACAACTGCATCTTGATATGGTAATTAAGAAGAAATGTGAATCCATTATCCTGTCTTTTGGGTGCATGCCTGTTTCCATGTATTTATAACATTCATGTATCTTTAAAAAATAATAATAAAGGCAAACCAGCTATTTATTCTTTAGTATCAGACTTCAAAATGGTAGTAATGTTTTAGTCTCTAGCAAGTGGCTGAAAGGATGCACTTAAGAGTACTAAAATCATGCTGTGAAAATTCAGAGACAAAAAATAGGACCAAATGTCCAACAAAAATTTCAAACACATACATATATATATGTGTGTGTGTGTGTGTGTGTGTGTGTGTGTGTGTGGTGTATATATACACACTTATATGAAAATAAAGATAAAAGCAAAAGTATTTTTGCAAATATAACCAGTCTATTAACAACAATATAATTTTAATTAAATACCTTGAAGTTGTTTTTAAGAGTAAGAACTGATTATAACTGATTTTCTTTTGGTACAATCTGTTAAGACTATGTTTCAGACTGCACATGGCCTGTGAGCTGTTTTTTTGGCTCAACTGGGTACCTGCTAAATCCCGATCTTACATTCAAAAAAACCAGTTCCTGATAGATTATAATATATGCACAAATAATATGGGGCCTTAACAGAGCTACATATTTCATCTGATAATAAGAAAAAGGGGTTACTACACATATTCTATCAAACTGAAAATGTACTTTTATTTTGTAGCTCTACAGAGTGTCCTTGTACATTAAAATTTCTAAGTTGACAATGGTTTTAAAAAGATGAAATACTGAACCTGTGCTATGTTTGCTACTATAAATTTTTGAAACATTATTCTTTCACTACAAAAGGACTAGTCATTCAAATGTAATCAAGATAAAGCAAATGTAAAATTCAACACACCTGATTCCAAGATTCATGGTCTCAGCAGTTCCAATCATACTGATGGCTAACAGCATATTATTGCATATTTTTGCAGCCTGAAAATAAATGCAAATAATTATAAATTTCTCTACTTTACAAATAACAATCCATCAGGAACCTGATTTTATTAGAAACTAGTCAACCTATGCCCCACTGCATCATCATTTTAGGAGTATCTTCTTACCTAAACAGAGAAACAGAAGGACCAAGGGTGGGCAAAAAAGTACTGGAAGAAGTGACTTACAATATTCTGCTGATTTCCCCATTGAGCTTCTTTATGGGAAGTTGGTAGGGAGCATTGGAAACCTTTCCCCCCCCCCCCCAAATTATCTTTCCTTCCCCTGCCCTCCTCTCCTTCCTATAATTTAATAATTGAATATTGAACTCCATCACTATAGACTATACTCATTCTCAATTCTACGCTATCAAGAACCCATGAAGTACATCTGAATAAATTTCAATTGTTGGTTGAGGTCTGGCATTAAATGTCCAATATCAAGAAGGATTTGCCCTTGCATAGTCATAGAAGGATTCTATTGATTCCTTACTGGAAGGGCTTCTTGGCCTCAAAGGATGTCACTTGGAAGATGTAAATTGTATTGTCTGATATTTTTCTTGAACTAGTTTGCAAGAAGTAAATTGAAGAGTTCATTAGGTAACAGTTGCAAATTTTCTGTCCTGACCTTCCCTTTAATTCACAAAAATTGGCAATTTTGTCCAGGGACTAGGAACGCATGAAAGTGAGGACAGATTTTGGCCATGGCACCAACATCAGCAGAAATTCATGCATTTTGCTGTGTTCGTTGTGATATCCACAATGTGGAAACATTAAGGAACTTTCGAAAATTACTTTGCCACATATTCTTTCTTCCCTTTTCCAATTTTTCTTGTCTCTTCATTCTGTACCCTTCCTTTGTGATTCTAGAGATGTACAGCACTATCATACTCCATTTCTTCATTTCTTGTCTTCCTTGCCACATCCTTTGATGATATGTTTGGTGTCATTCTTGACCATGATGTCTTCTCTTTCCCCACAACTTAATTATGCTGATATTTCATTTTAATTTAATTATTTCTGTCACAATGTTGTATGCTGCTGTTCTCACCAAAACAGTTTAGACTCCCTGCCATATTTTCTACTGAGTTGTAGGAAGCTGTTAAAAATAGGATCACATCATTTCCCGAGGGCTAGGACGGGATCAGTCTATGGCAGTGTTTTTCAACCTTTTTGTGCAAAGGCACACTTTTTTCACGAGAAAAAATCACGAGGCACACCACCATTAGAAAATGTTTAAAAAATTTAACTCTGTGCCTATATTGACTATATATAAAGTAATTTTCCCACGGCACACCTTACACTATGTCACGGCACACTAGTGGCACAGTGGTTGAAAAACACTGGTCTATGGTACCTAATCTCTAGCACCTGAAAGAAGGGCTGGTCTACACTTAATTTCAGAGTAGTAAACAGTTAAAAAATGAAGCACGATTGGCAAAAACTAAAGACTACTATAACTGAAATCCAGTTTCTACTCTATCTGAGGCCACAGCACCTCACTTAGTGACTTTCTGCCCAACCTACTCCCAAGTTTGTGAAGAAATGTAAGAGGTTGAAGCATTATATCTGTGCCTTGAGTTCCTGAACAAAGATAGGATACAAAAACATGTACATGTCTGTGTGCCAGTGGATATAAAGCAATAAAAATATACAAGCCTTCCTATAGGAACCTTAAAGTTGTTGCTTCTTTGATGCATCAATTCCTTGCTGTTGATGGGGAGGGAGTAGGGGATAGCAAGAGTGGTTGGAAACCATTGCATTCAAAATGAAGATCATTTTACCAAAGTGAAGATTATTTTAGTAAGATAATTTTACCACCAGCCCAACTATAGCAGCAGCCTGAAGTAGCCACAACTTTTCATTCCTTCAGGAGTCATGGGTCCCAGATTTTGGATGAACTGTCTATGTCATCCCATTTGAGGCCCTTTGGTACACTAATTATTTCTCTATGAAGGACCATTTTGCCCAATGCTAATAACAGCAAGAGTTTTAATAAATATATAGATTTTTTTTTGTTCCATAACCACTCTATAGAGAATAGAATGGCAATATTTTGGGTGTCTCATAAATGCTCACCTGCAGTCAATTGCCACTTTTCTTAGGTTTGGAGGAGTATGTGGTCTGGTTTTCAAAGCAAAAGAGTTTTTCAAAATTCTATGTCACTTAAATTAACCAATAATAGTCATGGAAAGCTCTTGAAACCACAACTGTCTTCTTTTGGTAGAGGCTTCCCAGTGCAAGAGGTTTCCATGGATCATCACTACCAAACATCTTCATTTAGAACCTTCTACATATATCTTCAGAAGAATTAGTCACTAATACTTGTATCATTTGTGCAGATCAGGCACTTGTGTTATTTGTGTTATACCATGTCCTACTAAGCAACCTTTTTTTCTTCTCTGTAATATGGGCTGCTGGAATTCTTAATTCTTGTATTTGATTTTAGAGTTTACTAGTATATTTCATAAGCAACCAGAGATATACAAATAATTAAACGTTGTACCAGTTTCAAGTAAAAACAACTGTTCTGCATTCAAAATGGTTCAGAAATGTCTTAAGGTTGAAAAAAATTGTTTAGAAATTGAAACAGTATATTTTATATTTGAAAGACTTAAAATGCAAAACATTTTGTCTCTTATAGGCAATCTTAAAACCTATTGTCAGTTTCACTCTGATTGAAAAAAATCTGCCCTAGTTGATTTTTTCTATTTACAGTATATAACCACACTTATCAACTTCTGCCCCCACTTCCCTACTTCTCAGGTGACCATTATATTTCCAAAGTATGTTGCAACCTATATCATTGCCATTATTGAATAAATCAGTTTGCTGCATGTCATAGTTTTCAATGGGAATTTCAATCTTGGAAGAGATATGCCTTTATCTTCATAGCAACAGCTCTGAATGTTTTGTAAAGTGTCAAATGAATGGCACATATCAGATACTGAAATACCAGGCACTGGGCAAGATAGAGAACACAACAATTCTTTTTCTTTCTTTTTTGTGTGGAGTCAGGCTAAGGTAACTTTTGTTTTTTACAAGTTATTGTAGATTGCGGCTGGGACCCTAATTGAATCACAATATTTGCATTCTCCTGTTTGCCAGGGGAATGTCTCACTATATTCCCAGCCCATTGTGATAGTCATCCAATGTAAAAAAATTACATTATAGCCAATTTCAAAATGCTTTAGGAAGATTAGGATATAGAAATAGTGCCATGTGGAAGTGCCCATACTACATCCCAAACAACACATAGCATTTTAATTTTGTTAGACGCCTACTATAAACTTGTATTTTTCAGTGCAATTTTAAACAAAATAATATAAAAACATTGTAATAGTCCCAATCTCAATGATGCCACCATTTAAGAACCAGTGGAGTTGGCAAATCATAACAAAACAGAATTTATAAACTGTTAGGATGGACACCCTTTGATTATTACGACAGTGTTTAAAATGTTTTTTGGGGACAAAGTCATCAGAGCAGCAGCATGATAACACAAAGCAGATACATACACAAGATTTCAAACTTATTTTATACCAGGTTTTAGACAATATAGTTGGATGGCATTCTAAGGAAACACACACACACACACATACACACACACACACACACTTTGGTGCTGCATGTGGCCTTCGGCTACAGATTTCCTACCTATTGAAAACCCAAGGGGTTGAGAACATCATGAGATTTGATGAAATGAGTTCAGCTTTATATAATAAAAAGGACTAAGAAAGGCAAAAAAGTATGCATTTTAGATATAATGTTCCACATTTTTGTTTTGGTAACTTATTTTTCATTTTATATTATTTCAGGTTGCCAAAGAAGATGGAGACTTTCTTTGATGACAAATCACTTTGATTTGATTTATGAGGTACTTTAGGACTTTCCTCTGTTTCTTATTCATTTAGAAATAGTATAAGATGTTTTTCAGTAAATCTAAGCAAAGTAATTGTTAAGATAAGTTAACATTCAGAATACAGATGAGTGATATGCAGAGGTTGCTGCACTCTTATTTTAACACAAACAATTTGATGGGTTGTAGTAGTTGATTTGAATAATTACAATCAAACTTCTAGAATAGCACATCTACATACCTACCTTCTAAACATCTAAATCACAAATACAACTGAAAGAAAAACAATGTGATACTTGCCCGCAGCACACTGAAAAAGACAAAAATGTCTGCAAGAAAATGCAAAACTGCATTTTGTATATGAAATTTGCATGTGAGCCCTACAAACTCACAAGAAAAGTTTCAGTTTTCTTACCTATGCTTCAGATAAGGTGGCATTTTAAACAGGGCTACAGTAGTATATCTTACTGGAAGTAGAGAGAGGATAGAACAAATGTCAATTAATTACCAGTTTAATGAAGAATTTCACTATGAAAGTAAATTTCAGTAAGTTTGGAAGGTATCTTTATCTTATGAAGCACATTAATGCAATGTGAAAGGGAAGAGACACTAAAGCTATAACATGCCTAGGAATGATCTGCATTTACCTGTCCAGTTCCAACTTCTCCACAATAGACCACATTGGAACCCATACATGTGAGAAGCTCTTTTGCAGCATCAAATTCCTGCTCTACTCCCCCGACCATGAAGGTAAGATTTCCTGCACGAGCAGCTCCAACACCTACCATTAAATTAAGAATAACATAGTCATTAATTATTTTTAAGCTTCTTTTAACATCACTTCCATTTGAAACTTCCTTTATGCTTATCATCTGTATAGGAATGAAATTAAACACCTCTCTCCACTACCTTTTCCAGTCCTGTTCCTAAACTCTTTTGAGTTCTTTGAGGCTTACAACGAAATACATCTCTTTTGTTAATATAATGGGCTCTCTCTATACCTACACTCAGACAAATACATGTATACATATGCATACATATTTACACACACAATTACAGGTATATTTGAAAATAGTCAAAGACTTCAGAATTTCCATTTCGGATGAAAAAAAATGCACTAGTGAGTTTATTTGTGAAATAAATACTAACTTAAAATTAGATGACACAGCAGACTGTCATGGTAACAGTAGTCCACTATGATAGTCATTGAATAAGCAGGTAATGTCACTTTTTAATGGTAGAGTTTATTCACACATTCTCCTTTTTATAAGGCATTGTTGAATGGCATTTGCTATTAATGCTGTATCCTGACTTCCTACCAATATGAGTTAAAAGTAAACAGAAGCTCTCTAACATTAAATATTATAAATAGTGTTTCCAATTACACTTTTTCCAGAGTCATTGTACATCTATAAGAACAAAACAGATGTTTTCAGCTGGTTAATATTTTGACAAGAGCCAGTTTGGTAATCATGAGTTTAAATGCCACCTAGGGACAAAGCCTGCTGGGTGACCTTGGGCCAGTCACTTTTTTTTAGCCCTAGAAAGGAGGCAAGGTAAACCAGTTTTGAAAAACCTTGCCAAGAAAACTCAGGGACTTGTCCAGGCAGTCTCTGAGATGTGGACATGATTGAATGGAAGAAGAAAAAATATTGACAAGTTATTCATATGTCTAGCATATTTTATATTTCAAGTTGGCACAAATAAAGTATTTTTTTAAACCCTAAAGTTTTTTGTTTAAAGGAATTTCCAAGTTTTGTCTGTTTTCCTTATCAAATTAGAGGCCTCAAATAAGGCAAACTCTCACAATGAAGAAGAATACATTCAAATTACAACTAGTGCTTGATTGTATGTCAGCTAAAAAAGAAAAATAACTAGGGTGTATAACTGCTCAGGATTAGGAAGATTCCGTCATCAGTTCAGAATTGCTGAAGAAACCTTGTCAAGTTTCTTGACTACTTCACTTCTATGCCAAGTAGAAAGATGCTCCTGCTGCTACTATGCGTCTGATTTATTTCTTTCAGCCCCAGTTCATCTTCTTTGCTACTAAGCCGGGAAAAAACACCATTCTATCCAGTTTAGGGCCACATCAGGCAGAGATGGTAGATATTACACTGATCTGTCCTACTGTATTTTTACAAGCAATGTTTCCCAATTGCCAGGCTGCATAGTAACAGAAATACTAGATGAAGTGAGGAAATCTAACTTCAAACTCCACTAAAAATGATTCATTAGTTAATCTGATGCTCATTCTATCTATCTGAAAGATTATTGGGAAATAGAGCAAAGTTGTGTATTATTTGTTGAGTTTTTTAGAGGAGAAGAAAAATATTATCAGATAAAATGAATAATGTATATAAACTGGAGTTAAATACAAAATAGCTATCTGTTCTGTCCCTCCTTCTTCGCTCGTTAACAGACAACAGGCAGACAAACTTAAAAGGAAATAAAGTCTCTGACAAGAAGATAACAGAATGCAAAACAAAACTCTTACAAAGCAATTCACTTCTCCAAGTGTCTCTCACAAAGAAACCACGACCGATGAATGGTGAACGTTGACTCCTGCAACAAGGGCGTGGCACCATCCATTCTTTTATCACCAGAAGACCCCACTAACGAGCCCCAGCTGCATTGTTAATCTTGCATCCCGACTCAACTCACAGCAAACTTCTGCTGAGTCACAACAGCTATCCAAGATGGCGAACACATTTTCTATAAAGGTAAAAGTTCCCCTGCATATGCGTGCTAGTCGTTTCCGGCTCTAAAGGTAGTGCTCATCTCTGTTTCAAAGTTGAAAAGTCAGCGCTCTCTAAAGATGTCTCCGTGGTCATGTGGCCAGCATGACTAAACACCAAAGGCACATGAAGGACTGTTACCTTCCCACCAAAGTGGGAACTGCTCGGTTGGCAGAAGTCGGACATTGCGCTCCATTACGCGGCATTAGGGATTCGAATTACCAAACTGTCAACCTTCTAATAAACAAGCTCAGCATCTCAACCACTGAGCACCATGTCCCTTACATTTTCTATAACCACCACAAAATAAGTATCACAATATCTGTAGACGAATAATTGGTTTTTTAGTCTCAGAAATAAATGTCTTTGTACTCATCAATCTGCTTTCCCTCAAAGTTCCTGGGTCCTAGGAACTTAAATAAGGATAGAAAATAGGATTTTTAATATATCCACCGTATTGTTAAAGCACCAAAATTCACAAATCTGCATGGAACTTCTTTAATAATTCTGAATCTAGATGTTATTCAATTACCTACGGCCAAGGCATTGTTCTACTTCAAAGTGCTGGCCAACCTCTTTCAAGCAATCCTTTTTAACCTGACAATGGAGTGTGAGAAGGAATAAGGTCAGATGAAAAGAGCCTGAGATGAGATAGGTCTGCTGCAATAACAGTACACAGTTGTCGACTGGGCCTCCTACAGAGAAATGAACAGCTCTCAGTTTGCTGGGGCACATAGAATTGATCTAAGATATGAACCTGGAGATAGACAGGCAGATATGGCTTGAGTCTTATAGTTGACAATTTCCGGCTCTATTAAGGTTTTCCTTCTTTAGTTTATTAAAGAATTGTGTACCTGAATCTCATCTTGTTTGTCTTCACATTCAAGTAATCGTCTGGGTGAAGGAAGCCTAATAGATAGTATACAATTTCCAGAATTTTAAAGAAAGCCCATCACGGGGCATGTTACTTGATGAAAACACAGCATTTAAGCCTTGAATTTATCTTTATTATGCACCTCTGTGTACTGATTCTTTATTATAGATCTTGCTACAAGCCTACCTCAAGTTCAGTGGCTGAAGTATTTTTCACTGTGGCATGTTATCAAGAGGGAAATGAATAAACTGAGCGGGACTGAAAATGAAGGAAATGACGTCTGCAAGGAGGAAAGCTTAATTGTATCTCTTCCCAAGCAAACAAACATTAAAAAAAACCACCATTCAGCTCTGCTCATCACATTCAGCCTTTTCCAATTCTCCATATAGCACATTTTCCCTGTAGCCACTGATCACTTTCTGATCATAAGACATGGAGCTATCAAATAGCACAAGTGATTTTGCATACCTATATCTAAGCTAGTTTTGCCTAGCCCTTGGGCAAAATCCTGGTGTCAGATTACTCACCCTCTTCCATATTATATGGTAATTGTGGTTGCTTTATAAAGATGCTGCCCTAATAAAATTCTTGAATTCATTTTAAAGTTAATGGGAAATATTTACTTTTTAATATATGTGACACAGACAGGAAGAGAAAAATAAAAATCTAGGTATATCATGATAGCATTTATAGAGTAATTGATCAAAGTGTAGAATAAATGTTATTGGTGTCTAAGACTCTATTTAACTGTAAAAATACTAATATACTCTTTTGTTAAGTTGGTAACTCTTTTCCCCTCCTCCCATTTCCCCTCCTCCAAAAGCCTGCTCTCTGTCTAGCAGTCGGAGAAAAAATGGCACAAGAATCACAGAAACTGAACGGAAACAGGGAGTCTTACAGAAGGCCAAGTAGAACCCAGTAGGTCATTGACCTTTCAAAGATGATTCCTGCACACAACCTAGGATGTCCACATGGGAAGGCTTCCATTTTTCCTTTGGAAAGTACTCTCCAGCAGATAACTTTCCTCTCTCTTCAGCCAGCTTCAGTAGCAGGCTGACATTGAAAAAGAGATCCCATAAGAGTAACATATCTCCAACAAATGGTATGTGGACTTGATGTTGTCAGGAACATTAAGCAGAATTTTTTTTAAAGAACCATCAAATTGTATTTAAAATTAACACGTCAAGTTTTTAGCTAGTTTTAGAAACAAGTGAGTTTGTCAAAATTAATCATGGCAATTTACTTAGATATTTTTTAAACAAAATTTCGCATTAAAAATAAACTGGAATGATTTCCTGACCCAATCTTAAGTCATACTGATATCTGTATTAATTTTAATCTTTAAGAAAAGGAGTTGCATACATTAAATTCTACCTAAATGGTTTTCTTGGGAAGGCAATATCCATAGACCTCTTTTGAAATGGTCTACAAACTTAATGTTTTAATCTACTTTTGACCATACTGTTGTAGGAAAAAATCAAGAAATGGAGATAAATTTCAATTCTTTCCAATGTTACAAAAAGAGGTTGAAGAAGTTCTCTTTGCTATCTATGCTTGTGAAACCAAAAGAAAGCATATGAGTTATAACACTTTTGCAAACAGTTTATTAAAATAAGTATATTACTGTTTACAAATAACAACTTATTCCTTTCTAAATGAAATTGCAATTATATCATTACTTATCCAAATATTTTGCACATGGAAATCAACAATGAAAAATAAACACTGAAATGAAGTATTAAGTATTATGCTTGAGGAATTAATATGTAATATAGTCCAGATCTAATCCTTCATTACACATTACACTAAACTGTAACATATGTTCATAAGGTTTTTTTTAGATTTAAATGTGTGATGCTATACATTTTGTGTTGAAAAGAAGGATGCTGCAAAACACGATTTAAAGGTTTTTTTCATTCTTCCATTAAATCATTAAATATTCTAACATGTAATATTATATGGTTAAATGTTTTAAACAGTCTATCCTAAAATGAGATAAAGGAGAGGGCTAAGAGGACCAGGCTGCTGTGTGAACTACCTTTAAAATGCAATTGTTTTAATCATTTTCTACAGATGCAACCTCATAGGGTCTGCTGTCACAGGGACCATTTACGACTTGTTATGGTGTCTCTATTGTTCATCAAAGACATTCAGCTAAAAAGGTGACAGCTG